TTCAGCTTTAGTTTTATAGTTAAGAAGTAGATATATCAAGGAAAGTTTTTAGCGGCTCTGTCTTCAAGTATAACATGCATAGAGAAAAAGCATAGCCTTCACACTCTGATCTACAAGGAGTTAACATCTTAAAAGCTAAACAGAACTGGATTAGCGCCTCTTTAACAATCCAGAAGTACAAGAGGATTGGAACCCAGTATACTAGAGGACACCAGAAAATTCAGCGAAAAGAACTAGAGAGCCCTCTGGAGAAAGCAGGAACTGTAAGTTTATATGTAATGCGTATTTATAGTCTCCCATTGCTTTCCCTGTGGTACTCGTAAATAAGTTTGTGCATTCGGTGTTCTATCATCAGTCTCCCAGGCATCTAGCACCACATCACCACATTAATCCTGTCACCCTCTTAACTCTATCCCATATCCAGCCAGTTGTCCAGTCTGATTTATCTTCTTCAGTGTCTTCAGGATCCATTCCACTCCTCTGTCCCCCTACCTCTATCCTTCCTAGTTCAAGGTCCCTTGCCTGTACTAAAGTAATATCCCCCAACACTGTCCTCTCCTTCGGGTTCTAACTCACTAATAGCAGATGAATCTTCTTAAAACTCTTCCATAGCTCTAACTCTATTCCTTTCATGTTCAAAAACGTATAATTACTGACCATTATCTGCACAGTGAATAAAACCTCTCTTTTTAAATTAAATTGACAAACACAAATTATATATATTGTATACAATATGTTGTGTTGAAATATGTATACATTGCATAATGGCTAACTCGTGCTAATTAACATATGTCTTACCTCACATGTTCTTTTGTTTTTTAATAGTAAGAACAGTTAAAATCTACTTTCTTAGCAATTTTCAAGAATCAAATACATTGGTATTTGCTATAGTCACCATGTTATACTGTAGATCTCTTGACCTTATTCCTCTTATCTAACTGAAATATTGCATCAGGGTTGGGGAGATAGCAAGAAGATATTAAAATTCCTCTATTTTATATGTAAGGTCTTTGAAAATAGGTTTTTTTCTTTGCATTTATAGAAAATGCAATTTAATTTTTTTTTTTTCGAGACAGAATCTCACTCTGGTGCCCTGAGTAGAGTGCCATGGCATCACAGTTCACAGCAACCTCAAGCTGTTGGGTTCGAGAGAACGTCTTACCTCAGTTTTGCTATTTTTAGTAGAGAAAGGGTCTTGTTCTTGCTCAGGCTGGTCCCGAACTTGTGAACTCAAACAATCCACTGGCCTCAGCTTCCCAGAGCAGTAGGATTTCAGGAGTGAGCCACCTTACCAGGCCTGATGCAATTTAATTAAATATCATTCTCCCTCACCTGCTTTCACTCTATCTCGAGAGATTCAGGAAAGCTGTGCTTAACAATAGAAGATAAGATAACATTGGGGGGGAGAACCTTATATATCTCCCCGTCACCCTAAGCCTCCCCATCTCAGTCTGTCCATGTTGCCCCTCAAAATGCCACACACACACTCCCCTCTCTCTTCTGGAGAAACCCATGCTGTGCCCACCATGGCCAGGAAGCTGGTTGTATGGGTCTGCCCTATTTCCCCCTCTCCCCCTGCTTCTCATCCTCCCACTCTCAACCCGCTAGTCCTCCCACAGTGGTTAGGAAGACCGATGAAAACACTTCCTGGTTACAGGGGTTGAGCTGAAGAGGTGATCCGGTTTCCTTTCACTTACATTTTCAGAATTCTCTTTCTCAAACTCTTCATGCCTACTTCGTACTGTTCAGGGTCACCCTGCACTTTGCCCTTCCTGTTGCTATTATTTTTTTTTAGAGACAGAGTCTTACTTTGTCACCCTGGGTAGAGTGCCGTGGCACGTCACACAGCTCACAGAAATCTCCAACTCCTGGTCTTAGGCAATTCTCTTGCCTCAACCTCCTGAGTAGCTGGGACTACAGGTGCCCGCCACAATGCCTGGCTATTTTTTTTTTTTTTTTTTTTGCAGTTTTTGGCCAGGGCTGGGTTTAAACCCACCACCTCTGGCATATGGGACTGACACCCTACTCCTTGAGCCACAGGTGCCGCCCCGGCTATTTTTTTTGTTGCAGTTTGGCTGGGGCTGGGTTTGACCCCACCACCCTTGGTATATGGGGCCGGCACCTTACTCACTGAGCCACAGGTGCCGCCCCCTTATTGCTCTTTAGACTCTCCTTTCTGTATGAAATACTCTGTATCTCCACCTGGTAAAATTACCCCCAGTGTCCCAAAACCCCTCCTTTATAAAACTTTATCTGATCCTTCAAGTAAATGTGACTGTCATCCTTCTTTTACATTCCCACTTGGTTTATTCTTCCTTGATTAAGTTCTGATATTTTAATTTACAATTAAGAGTATACTTTTCTCAGGTGGGGTGCAGTGGCTCACATCTGTAATCCTAGCATTCTGGGGTGCTGAAGCAGGAGGATTGCTTGAGCTCAGGAGTTGGAGATTAGCCTGAGCAAAAGGAAGACCTCGTCTCTACTAAAAATAGAAAAAAGTACCCAGGTGTTATGGTAGGTGCCTGTAGTCCCAGCGACTTGGAAGGGCAAGGCAAGAGGATTGCTTGAACCCAGGAGTTTGAGATTACTGTTGAGCTAGACTGACACCACAGCACTCTCTCCGGGGCAATAGAGTAAGATTGTCTCAAAAAAAAAAGAGAGAGAGAAAATATAAGATTATATTTTTGTCAGGTGGCACCTGTGGCTCAAAGGAATAGGGCACTGGCCCCATATGCGGGAGGTGGGGCCCTGGCCAAAAACTGCAAAACAAATAAGTAAATAAATAAAATAAAATAAATTTTAAAAAAGATTATTTTTTTTTCTCATTTCTCCTCTTAATTATTCACTTCCTGTGAGAAAAAGCTCTATTTTCCTTCTCCTTGAAGCAATTGCACATAATAGTCATAGAGTAACATGTGTCAAATTAAATTCAATCCAAATTCCGGGAGTTGGATAATCTTTTCTGAGCATTCTTGCAACCAACACTATAGTTACAGAGCCTATATTTTTCTCCACAACTTCTTTTTTATAATCTCTGCTCCAGGTTTTTTTTCTCAATTCTTTCATCTCATTTGTTTCTATCCTCTTACATAAGATTAGCTCCTCCTGAAATGTCTCACTCACTGCAAAGTGATTCTCTTCAAGACTATATTTATAGTTTGTCCCTTCCTTCCCCTAGAGCTTCAACTCGGAGGAGCCTAACTCCGTCCCCTTGTTGCTGGATGTGGCTATTTATTTGGCTTGTTAGAGTTAGTTCATTGTAGAATGAAAAGACTTGAACTTGTAATCCATATTAATTCTAAAATAATTAAAACTCCACTTCTCTATTTTGCCACACAGGTCCAGGTAATCCACAAATTTTTAGGGCTAGGTACGGTGGCTCACTCTGTAATCTTAGCACTCTGGGAGGCCTAGGCTGGTGGATTAGGAGCTCAGGAGTTCAACATCAGCCTGAGCAAGGACAAGACCCTGTCTCTAAAAATAGCCAGGAGTTGTGGTGGGCGCCTGTAGTCTCAGCTACTTGGGAGGCTGGAGCAAGAGGATTTCTTTCTTTCTTTTTATTAAATCATAGCTGTGTACATTAATGCACTCATGGGGTACAATGTGTTGATTTTATATACAATTTGAAATGTTTCCATCAAACTGTTTAACAGCTTTTATGGCATTTTCTTAGTTATTGTGTTAAGACATTATATTCTGGCTCAGTGCCTGTGCTCACGAGGCTAAGGCGCCAGCCACATACACCTAAGGTGGCGGGTTCGAATCCCCAGCCCGGGCCGGCCAAACAACAATGATGGCTGCAATCAAAAAATACCCGGGCATTGTGGTGGGCGCCTGTAGTCCCAGCTACTTGGGAGGCTGAGGCAGGAGACTCACTTGAGCCCAGGAGTTGGAGGTTGCTGTGAGCTCTGGTGCCATGGCACTCTACCCAGGGTGACAGCTTGAGGCTCTGTCTCAAATAAAAAAAAGAAAATTGATCCAAAATGGGCGTCTGTGGCTCAGTAGGTAGGGCGCTGGCCCCATATACCGAGGGTGGTGGGTTCAAATCCAGCCCCAGCCAAACTGCAACAAAAAAATAGCCAGGTATTGTGGCGGGCGCCTGTAGTCCCAGCTACTAGGGAGGCTGAGGCAGGAGAATCACCTAAGCCCAGGAGCTGGAGGTTGCTGTGAGCTGTGTGATGCCACAGCACTCTACCAAGGGCAATAAAGTGAGACACTGTCTCTACAAAAAAAAAAAAAAAAATCCAAAATGATATTCCTTCATTCTATAATCAAAAAAACTAATTTTCATTTTGAATACATAATGTCATTACTACTAAATTTTTTTTTGTTTTTGGAAGACAGAGTCTCACTATGTTGCCTTTGGTAGAGTGCCATGGTCACAGCTCACTGCAACCTCCAACTCTTGGGGGTAACCTGCCACAACACCCGGCTATTTTTTGTTGTTGTTGCAGTTGTCATTAGCAATTATCTGGCCGGGGCTGAGTTCGAACCTGCCACCGTTGGTGTATGTGGCTGGCGCCATAACCACTAAATTCTTTTTTTTTTTTTTTGAGAGACAGAGTCTTACTTTATCACCCTCAGTAGAGTGCTATGAAATCACAGCTCACAGCAAACTCCAACTCCTAGGCTTAAGCTATTCTCTTGCCTCAGCCTCCTGAGTAGCTGGGACTACAGGCGTCCACCAGAACATCTGGCTGTATTTTTTCTTGCAGTTTGGCCGGGGCTGGGTTCAAACCCACCACTCTTGGTATACAGGGCTGGCACTCTACCCACTGAGCCACAGGTGCTGCCTGCCACTACTAAATTCTTGAGTCTTAAGTATAAAGTGATCCATACCAATATATAAACGATTATGCTACATCATCACGAAAGTGCTAAGAAATTTCTGCTACAACTTGAACACAGCCTGACGAAGACATGCTAAAGTTGCATGTAATTGGCTGGCCTTTCCTTTATTTCAGTCTTTTATGATCTCTTATAGCTTGGGAATTGAAATCATGACACATCTGATGGACCATACATCAGGGGACCTGCCAGTTAGAGACACAGATGCCATACCTCTGATGCTATCAGGGTCAAAAGGTAAATCCAGTGCCTGAGGATGGATGCATTTTAGAATTAAAAGACCTCTTAATCTCTCGTTCCAGGGCATTTTGCTAGTCATCACAGTAGCTGCTTTGCTTTCAGCTTTTTTTTTTTTCAGACAGAGTCTTATTATGTTGCCCTTGGTAGAGTGCCATGGCATCACAACTCACAGCAACCTTAAACTCTTGGGCTTAAATGATTCTCTTGCCTCAACCTCTTCAGCTGGGATTATGGGTGCCTGCCACAATGTCTGGCTATTTTTTTTTGTTGCAGTTGTCACTGTTGTCTAGTAGGCCTGGGCCAGGTTTGAACCTGCCAGCCTCAGTGCATGTGGCCAGCGCTGTAACCACTGTACTATGGGCACCAACCCTGCTTTCAGCTTTTTTCCTCAATTGTCTCAGCATTTTATTCTTAACTTCTTATAATAAAATTTCTACTGTGCAGGTTTAGGAGGTGAAAGCTAAATACAACCACCACCAAGCCACAACAAAATCCAAGAACAGACTAGTGGCTTTCATTCATCTCTCCATGTGATTAGTCCTTCACTCCCACTAAGCAGAGGTATGCAGTTTTAAATAAAAAGACTCAGCCCCACCAGAGCATCCTCCACACAGGTCTTAAGATATTATTATAACTTTGTCTTATTCTCCCATCCCAAAATCCCAGTTATAGCTACTGTTGATTCTATTTTCATTTTCTTTTCTTTTTTTTTTTTTTGCAGTTTTTGGCCAAGGCTGGGTTTGAACCTCCCACCTCCAGCATATGGGGCCGGTGCTCTACTCCTTTGAGCCACGGGCACCGCCCGATTCTATTTTCAATTGATTTCATTTCTATAAAATATTTTTCAAGAATAGGGCATTTTGGGCGGCTCCTGTGCCTCAAAAGGGTAGGGCACTGGTCCCATATGCTGGAGGTGGTGGGTTCAAACCCAGCCCCAGCCCCCCCCAAAAAAGGCAAAAATAAATAAATAAAGCTTATCTTTAAAAAAAAAAAAAAGAATAGGGCATTTTATGCGCTTGCCATGAGTACATAAACAGTGCAAGGCCAGGCAAGGTGGCTCACACCTGTAATCCCAGCATTTGGGAGGCAGAGGCGAGTGGATTGCCTGAGCTCATGTGTTCAAGACCAGCCTAGCCAGAGAGAGACACCCTCTCTAAAAAAAATAGCTGGGCATTGTGGTGGGCACCTGTAGTCCCAGCTATTTTGGAAGCTAAAGCAAGAGAATCACTTGACCCCAAGAACTTGAGGTTGCTGTGAGCTATGATGCCATGGCACTCTCCTGAGGGTGAAAAAGTGAGACTCTACCTTAACCCCCCCCCAAAAAAAAACAGTACAACTACTTTAGGGGAAAGTTTAGCATAAGCTAGTAATGTTTAACATGTAACTCTACTTCTAGGTATTAAATATAAAGAAATTCTTACTCATGTGTACCAGGAGACATATACCAGGGTGTTCATGGCAGTATCACTCATAAGAATAAAAAATAGAGGCTAGGCACAGTGAGTCACGCCTATAACTCTGAGAGGTCAAGGCAGGTGGGTTGTTTGAGCTCAGGGAGTTCCAGGTCTGCCTCAGTAAGTTCCTTGTCCCTGTCTCTACTCAAAATAGAAAACTATCTGAGGCTTTGCACCTGTAATACAGTGGTTACAGCGCTGGCCACATGCACTGAAACTGGCAGGTTCAAACCTGGGCCAGGCCAGCTAAACAACGACAACTGCAACCAAAAAAAAAAAATAGCTGGGTGTTGTGGTAGGTCTCTGTAGTCCCAGCTACTTGGGAGGCTGAGGAAAGAAAATCTCTTAAGCCCGAGTTTGAGGTTGCTGTGAGCTGTGACACCACAGCTCTCTACCGAGGGTGACATAGTGAGACTCTGTCTCAAAAAAAAAAAAAGATATAATTTATATGCCATAAAAAAGACTTGTAGCAAACATTCTCTAGCCTCCCCCTGCGGCCCCCACCTCTGAGAATTACTAATCTACCTTCAGTGTCTATTGGAAGCTCTGGACATTTCATATGTATAAAATAATACAACAGATAGCTGTTTGTATCTTGTTTCTTCCACTTAGCATAGTATTTTCTTTTCTTTTTTTTTTTTTGAGACAGAGCCTCAAGCTGTTGCCCTGGGTAGTGCTGTGGCATCACAGCTCACAGCAACCTCCAACTCCTGGGCTCAAGCGAGTCTCCTGCCTCAGCCTCCCAAGTAGC